CGAATTGTGGTTAACGTATAGCATCGCTGTGTGATCCTTGTTTTAAAAGTGCAAACATATATTGTAAATTACCCCTTATTTATTAGTTGCTCTTAAAATTTAAATGTTACTTTATTATTGTATATATAAGTTATGTTCACAATTATTTCTGTCTGTTGTAAAGTAAATCGTAGTCTCTGGATTAGTCAGTAGGCTTTACTTTATGTTATAGTTTTAAACTAAATTTTTTAAGCATTTTATTTTTATTATAATATTATATTAAATTATTAAGTGTTTGTAAAATAATGTCTAATTCGCGAGACTTTAGCGGTAAAGTAGTGCTAATCACGGGCTCGAGCGGTGGTATCGGCGCCACCACTGCCGTAGAGTTTGCCCGAAACGGCGCTCAAGTGGTCATCACTGGACGTAATGCCGACAAACTGTCAGATGTGGCCAAAGACTGCCTTAAGATATCGCCCAAAGGCCTGAAACCTCTGGAAGTGATTGGAGATGTCAGCAAAGATGATGAATGCAAACGACTGATTGACACCACTATTAAAATGTATGGTAAACTCGATGTGTTGGTCAACAACGCCGGGTTTCTGAAGGAAACCCTGATTACACAAACTAATATTATGGACAAATACAAGGATATAATGGACACAAACCTGCGTTCAGTCATCTATTTAACACATCTATCGGTCAAACACTTAGAGGAAACTAAAGGCAATATTATAAATATGTCGAGTATTGCCGGTTTAAAACCCGTAATTTAAAATTATTATCACATTTTATTAATTTTGTACATAAATTTTTAACTAGTTTTATATTTAGTTTTATAGAATTTCAATTTATTGTATGTCAAAATGTGCCCTGGACATGTTCACCAAATGCCTAGGGCTGGAGCTAGGTCCTAAAGGTATTAGGGTAAACGCAATTAAGTAAGTGAAATAACAAAGTTACAATTTAACAATTAATAAGATATTTGCCACAATTTATACAATTCAAAGTCCGGGTCACGTGAAAACAGGAATCATGGAAGTAGGTGGTTATTCAAAGAGCCAATCAGATGCCAGGTATGATGAGTTGGCCAAAATTTATCCGTTGTCTCGCGTGGGAGAGTCCATAGACATCGCGAACGCCGTACTATTCCTGGCCTCAGACGAGGCCTCGTTTGTGACGGGCATTAACTTCACGGTCGACGGCGGCGCCCGGTATGCCATTTAATGAATATTTGTATTGGCCTGGGCTAATGACCCCCTTACTTTTAATATGTTGATTAAATATCATTATTAAAAGTCTGAACAATGTAACTATGGGTTTTGTCCTTTTTTCTATCTCTATCTTAAAACATAGTCCTTTTTAATAATCAAAAAAGACTATACTTTATCCTTTTTTAAATTTTAATATAAAAAGTTTAATATGAATTAGGGAAAAACCAGAGAATAACTCATGAGCTTTTGCCATATTACTCTTTTGGAAATTAAAGATACCAATAACTTAAAATTTAATCGATCAATTTTAGCAAATTATATACTAAAATATTTATTCTAAAATATAGCATAATATCTATTTCAGGTTTTTTTTTGAATAAATAAATGGTAAATGAGTATAATGCATATAATTGGTAAAATTACAATATTTTAATTTCTTTGCCATTTGAAAAGTATAAATTTTACAATATTAATATCAAAGTCATCTTGATTAGACAATAAAAAAATATTTTCTCAGTTATTCAATAATATTGCATAATGCTATTAAATTTATTTTTCTTTATATAATGTAGAGCTAAATGGTGAAATTTTTAAAAATTTCTTTTTTTTTATGTTTAGCTACAATCATTTTAATATTAATATCTTCAAATTCGATATAGTACTTTTTAAATGGGAGAGAAATTAATATATTGTAATTTAACAACTTTCATGCATTATACTTATATACCATTTATTTATTCAGAAAATCATGAAATAGGTATTAAGTTATTGTTTATGATATAATTAAAATTGATTAAGTAAATTTTAAGTTATCGCTATCTCTTATTTCTCATAGAGTAATATGGCAAAATCTAGTGTGTTTCATAATTTCCCTAATTCATATGTTTTCAAATATGAAAAATCTCATTGATTGTTATGGACTGTAGCGCTTTAAAGTTTTGTAAAATATTACAATACACAAATAGTAAATAATAAGAATAGAATATAAATATATATTTAAATATGTTGTAATTTTTAAATGAAAACTATTATAAAAATTAAAGAATATATTTTATTTAGATGAAAAAAGTCAGTTATATTGTTTATTTAAAGTCTTCATTTAAGTACTTATTTAAACTGTGTTCCAAAACAACAGAAAACAAATTGAGATAATAATTTTTTGCGTTCTTTTGTGTGTTTTTTAAATGACTAGCAGTTGTCTTTTTAACCACAATTCAGATATGAATAATGTGGTTTATAGGATCGTTCTGCCCCTTTCCCCCCTCCGCGGCCCCCCGCTCTATGG